ATCATGTCCTCTCGCAACCTTCTTTTCTCTAAACCAGGGGTCCTCAAACTAAGGTCCGGGGGCCGGATACGGCCCTCCAAGATCATTTCCCCAGCCCTCGCTCAGGGTCAACCTAAGTCTGAAATCACTTGAAAACACACAACAACAACAACAATCCTATCTCATCAGTCAAAAGCAGGCCCACACTTCCCAGTGAAATGCTAATAAGTTTATATTTATTTAAATTGTTCTTCATTTTAATTATTGTATTGTTTTTAAGTGTTTTTGCACGACAAATAAGATATGTGCAGTGTGCATAGGAATTCATTCATGTTTTTTTTTCAAATTATAATCCGGCCCTCCAACAGTTTGAGGGACTGCGACCTGGCCCTCTGTTTAAAACGTTTGAGGACCCCTGCTCTAAACTATACCTACCCTGTTTCCTAAACTGTTCCTCATAGGGCATGATTTTTACCATTTTGACTGCCCTTTTCTGGAGACATTCTGGCTTTAGTCACACTCCTTCTTGAATTGTGGTGCCCAGAACTGGACACAGTATTCCAGGTGAGGTCTGATCAATGCAGAATATAGTGGTATTGTTGCTTCCCTCATTCTAGACACTTTATTACTACAGATGTAGCCTAGAATCAAATTGACTTTATTAGCTGCCACATTATTGTCTCAGTATCTTGGTCTACTAAGATTGCAAGATTTCTTTCACGTGTGCTATTTTCAAGCCAGGTATCAACCATTCAATATCTGTGCATTTCATTTTTGGCAAAACATTATATTTCTCCTTTTGAAATTCATTTTGACACTGAATTAGGACATGCCTGTCCTCTTGTCCTAATTCAGTGTCATCTCCAAATTAGGGAAGTGTACCCTCTATTCCATCATCCAAGTCATTGATTGCTCCCTGCAGCACCCCATTTGTCACTTCTCTCCAGAATGAAGAGGAGCTATTGATGAGAACCCTTTGGCCAGTCAACAAATTACAAATCCTCATAACAGTACAATTGTGTAGCACACATTTTACTAGCTTGCGAGAATATCATGGGAGATTTTGTTAAAGGCCGTAGTGAATTCAAAGTAAACTACATTCACAGCATTCCTTTTGTCTACCAATCTTGCTACTCAATAATAAAGATTAGTTTTGTATGACTTGTTTTTGAGAAACTCATATTGACTTTTAGAAATCACCCTTCAGAGCAGCCACCCTTAGTTTCTGAGACCATAAGCCATGCAAAATATTACACTCCTAATATTTTACCCACCTGAATATTCAAGTGGTGGGGGGGGGGGGGTAGAGTCACCCTGAGCTCTTTTAGCAGGGAGTAATAAAAAGTCTTCATTTCATGGTAGTCTTCATCCAGTTCTTCCGCTTGGCTTAGAAGAAACACCCCGATTGTGTGTGTTTGTGTTTCTGGATAATGACCATATAGGTTTTTGGGTATGTTGAAGACCATGTTGAGAAATGATACAGTTCTGCTATCCCTCCTTTAATGCTGTAGGCTAGTATGAGTCCTGTTGAAACACCTGGCATGAAGTAGTATTATTACTGTTATTAATCTTAATGTTGCTTCAAGCAGTTAATTTACTGTATCCTCTGTTTTTGGGTACTCGCTGACTGGCATTCTACTAGTCAGATATGCATGTACAAATCATGCTATGCATGTGGGGTGAATTATTTACCACAGCACAGCAGAGGTATTCTCCTGATAGCAGCAGAAGCAGAGTTGTACACACAGCAATGTTGCAGTATGCAGTTGAGTGCTGTTTATTGATCACTGCATAACAGCATCCAGTTACTGACATATGTGTTGCTGTTTTGCAAGAGGATTGTGCAGTACTGCTGCAACATATCTCTGCATGTGGATATTTGCACTGTGCTGAGGGGATGTTAAGATTGAAGTCAGTGAATGCTGCCAAGTGAAAGCATTAGGGGAAGTATTTCAGTATTCACTGAGCAGCAGTATACATTAACTTGTTCCTTCATGCCAGCAACACATGGAAGTCATGTGCATAGAGGATCTATCCTTAGTGTGGCAGATGTGAAGTGACAGAGGTAACAGTATTTTTACTAGACATTGCGTAAGAACCAGCTGCCTTGAGCTTATCCCAGTGTTTGTGTATTGATCACTAAGATCCTATTCCAGATCGATCTAAAGACATATGAGTTCAAGCCATATAGCTTCTGCCAGATTTTATTAGTTGTTGTTACCTCCATGTGGGCTGTTCATATTTCTTTGTTGATTCTGTACTGGGATTCTTCAAGTTTATTTTTCATGATGCATGGTTTGTTGTGGTGCTGTGGTTTACAAAGCATTTCTTTCTCTCTGAATGTTTAAACATGGTTCTTATTTCCAGCGTAATAGACCCAAAGTGTCATTTCATTGATGCACTGATGCAACATAACTCTAAATTTCCTAAGTAAGTAAGAAAGAAAGAGACAGACAGACAGGGAGTGAAGAGGCTTCTTTTGTACCAAAATGTTTGAAAATATTTTAAAAGCTATCCCCGAACCCCTCTATAATGGACAGCTATCAGCCAGTGTCCAACCTCCCCTTTCTGAGCAACATCTTGGAGTGTGTGATGACCCCCGGACTCCAGGGATTGCTGGATGAAATGGATTATCTAGTGGTTCTCAACCTGTGGGTCCCCAGATGTTTTGGCTTTCAATTCCCAGAATTCCTAACAGCTGGTAAACTGGCTGGGATTTCTGGAAGTTGTAGGCCAAAACACCTGGGGACCCATAGGTTGAGAATCACTGATCTAGATCCATTTCAATGGGGTTTCAGGCCTGGCTATGGAACAGAGACACCTTTTTTCACCTTGGTAAATGACCTCCGCAGAGAGCTAGACAGGGGGAGTGTGTCCCTGTTGGTTCTCCTGGAAGGCACTGTCTTAAAGTGGCTCCGGTCCTTCCTGGAGGTTCATACCCAGAATGTGGTGCCAGAAGCCTCCTGTTTGAACCCCTTGCCATTGACCTGTGGGGTTCCTCAGGGTTCCATTTTGTCCCCCATGCTGTTTAACATATACCTGAAACCACTGGAAGAGATCATCTAGCATTTTGGAGTTCAGTGCCACCTGTATACAGATGACACCCAACTCTACTACCCCTTTCCACCTAATGCCAAGGAAGCTCTCCTGACCCTAAACCAGTGCCTGTCATCGGTAATGGACTGGATGACGGCAAACAAATTGAAACTTAATCCATACAAGACAGAGGTACTCTTAGTCAGTCACAAGGCAGACCAGGGAATAGGGATCCAGCCTGTACTGAATGAGGTTACACTCCCCCTGAAGACACAGGTCCACAGTTTGGGGGGTCCTCCTGGACACAGCACTGAACCTGGAGGCCCAGGTATCTGTGGTGGCCAGGAGGGCACAATTAAAACGTGTGTCAACTGTGTCCGTTCCTTGAGAAGCCAGATCTGGCCACGGTTACTTGATTACTGTAATGCGAGCTACATGGGGCTGCCTCTGAAGAGTGCTCAGAAACTTTAACTGGTCCAAAGAGCTGCAGCCAGGTTGCTAACTGGGAGCTGGCTACAGGGACCCCCCCCCCCTCCCCTGGTTACAGCAGTTCCACTGTCTGCCAGTCTGTTTCTGGGCACAATTCAGAGTGGTGGTTATGTCATTTAAAGCCCTAGACAGTTCAGGCTGACCACATCCCCTTGTATGAAACTGTCTGGGCCCTGAGATCTTTAGGAGAGGTTCTTCTCTCAGTCCCACCTACATCTCAAGCTCAGTTGGTGGGAACGAGAGAGTGGGCCTTTGTTTTTGGTGGCTGCCCCATGACTCTGGGACTCCTTGTCCAGGGAAGCTGGAATGGCCCTCCCCCTGCTGTCCTTCTGACAGCAGACTAAAACCTTCTTATTCAAACAGGCTTTTAAAGATGACAGTTTTAAAAATCTCATCAGGGGATGCTATGGTTTTTTAACTTTGAATAAGTTTGATGGTTTTTGACTGAATTTTAAAATATTTGTTGTGTTTAATTCTATTTTAATGTTTGCATTTTTGTATATTTTAAGTTGTATATCAATGCTTTTATGTCAAGCTGCTTTGAGTCCCCTTTGGGGAGATAAAGCAGCGTAACAACAACAACAACAATAACAGCAGCAGCCGCCAATATTACAATCTTCCAACAATCTTCCAATATTACAATCTTCCAACACTTTTACTTTATCTAGATGAAACCTTAACAAGATTTAAACAGCGCCTCTGTTTTAGCTTTCAGGATTTACTAGCTAAAACTGTTCGGTAGAATTTTTTTCAGTGCTGTTTAAAATGTCTCCACTCTTTGTAAATAGTACTTTAATGGTTCTGGTCCTTTGAGGCTGTGATTCAGCTTCAGTTTGATGGGGCAATATGATTATAGAAACAGGACCTGAGGACCATCTAGTCCATTCCCCTGCTTTTCCACTGGTGAAGGATACTTGAGAAATGGCCATCTAATCCCCATTTTGAAAATTCTGTTTAAAAGTAACTCTCATTCTATCTCAAAATACAATCTCTCCAATAGATCTAATAAGCTACAGTGACTCTGCATGACATAGTATATATATGATCTTAGATAGTTCTTGTAGACTCCAAAGAACATGGACTATTTTTTAAAGAGCAAATTTATAATAGCCATCATTATAGAGACAGCTTTAAAGATTTTAAGACCTTTCTTTCTTAATGGATTGAAAACAAACTGAGTTTCAGTTAGACATGTTAGCTAATTTTTGCTTCCCACAGGTCTTAATTTGACTTAATCTGGCTGTGCATCGAAGACCCTCTGTGTCACCACACTTGGCTAGAACTTCCATGCTCTCAATGTGAAAAATACAAATAAATTCCTGGAACCAATTAAATCTAATTTGATATCTCTGAACAAGCAGGTTGCCTGAACAAAGCAAAACAAGCCAGTTACATGAATGCATGCAGAAGTGGAGGAAGGTCATGGACTGCCTGCAGAATTTAGGGGTGTTTTAACGCAGAGTTCTAACACGTGGCTTACTTGCCTTTTCTTCTAGGCCTCTTAATGTCACTCTCGTCTTCCAGTCCAAGAGCCAACGATTTGTACGCGTGGGCCTGAGTGTACCTCTGTTCAGCTCAGTGGCAAAGTTGAGAGAAATGGTAGCAGAGGAAGGCAAGCTTTCACCTGACCAGGTAAGACAGAAGAGTTTTACTCCTTCGGCCCCAGTGAACCCGGTGAATTGTGCACTTTGCAACTGCAGGAGCTGTGGATATTTATCCTTTTCATCCGTGTGCCTGGTATCCTTGACTGCTTTCTTCTGTGTTGCAGGTAATCCTGGCTGAGTTGGGCCCATCAGGATTCCGGTGCTCCTTCTCAGATGATGAAGATCTGAATACCATTGCAGATGGTGACAACATTTATGCTTTCCAAGCTCCACTCTCCTTTAACAAGGCCAACTCTTCTCGCCTCTCAGGTATGGCAGATATGTGGGTGGAATGTACTTCATATTCTTCTACAGTCTGCTAAATGGAATTGCTGCTTTTTCTCTATAGCTGTGCTGATCAATCTTTTGGGTAGGTATACTACATGTAAAGTTAAGAATACAAGATAATGACATTTTTACTGTAGTGCATGAGCAGTGCTCCATCTCCTTCACCCTGATACTGCTTTACCTCTGGTCTGTATAGGTGGAATGCAGGTGGCAGTGCAACTCTGGAGATCTAGGTATATTATACAATCAGATTTATGGACCCTCCCACTTTTGTTTAGACAGCCATGATCTGCAAACCAGAGAGGTCAATTGCTGGGATGATAAGATAGATGTATATTAAATGGTAAAAGGAAATCACATTGAAGATTGAATCTATCAGGGGAGGGATAGAGAAGCAGAGGGAAGCACAGAAATAAGTTTAGATGACTTCATTGTCTCAATCCACCAGGACTAAAGTTTTCCCCCTCACCTTTTGCCTTGACAGGGCAAGGGCCAAGCCTCTTGTGACACCAGTGGATCAGTATATTTGAAACTGATTTTTTTTTTGCAGTAATACAGAAAAGAGAGGGTGAAGTAGGGTAATTTAAGAAGCAAAAGGTTTGTGTGTGAGTGAGAGCCAAATGTTGTCCCTTTGTTCTGAAGCCTTTCCCTCTATTGGATTTTTATGGCTAGATTTAGTTCCAGCTTCCAAGTCCCAACTGAGAGTAATGTGCCAGTGTAGTGGGCTTGCATGGATGAGGAAGGATTTTCCTTATCTATACAACCCCTTGTTCTTTAAATCAGATCCTGCTTCATCCACCCACCCACATTCAAGGCAATTGCAGACAGTAGTGTAGATTCAGATTTAAACACACATACAGATCTTCCACAACTAGTTTGGCCCTGAGAAAACTAGAAAGCCATATTCCAATTATATCTGGTGGCAGCTATGGGAAGTCCTGGCTGACATATAGAGAAATGAGGCAAAGATACCATTGCCAAACCTAACAGCCATGGGCTTAGCAGTCAGCTCAGTGTTTTGCCCAGTGGCTATCAGACTGATGTCTGTTAAAAGACAGCACATGGGGTATTGTTGTCCAGGTTGGGATGTTTTGCACAATAGCTTTCGGACATCAGTATGGAGAAGAAAAAGGAAAAAGACTGCTTACCACAAGAAGGGACAGGAGGAAGTTTCCCTGTTTAGATGGCATCACATTGAGGCCAGTTACTTTAACTGAAGGCTGGGTCTATCCATCACACTGTCCTTGTCTCATCCCTCCAGCACAGATTACCAGCAGTCACAGTGGATAGCCTTAGAATGAGTGGCCTTTAGAGGCACCTAGGCTCTGTCACTTTAACGGCCTCTTATTAAGATCTACGGCCCGGAGAGTGCATCATGAGGCCACTGGGAAATACCCTTTCCCTGCAGAGTCAGAAATGTTCTTTTTCCTCCCAGGCAGCTTTATTACGTAGAGTGCAAAGGTATTTATTTCTCCTGGATTCTGATTATTGTCTGGCTGCCTGCTGGCTCTGCAGGTGAAACGTGATGGATCCCAAAGAAGTGTGGGATTTTCTGTTTGCTTATTAGGGAGGGAAACTACTTTAAACAGGGCCATGTCTGATCTTGTAAGCTATACAGCCCTTCTGAGAGGAATCACATAAAATGTATAAATAGTATGTAAAAGTCCAGAATCACTCCCCTGCATCTCCGATTCCCATTTCTCAACCTGCTAGACTAATTCTTTCCAAGAGGTCTTAGCCGGTTTAACTTTTTATACACAAAATACCTGTTACGAGATGGAAGCTTTTGCATTTGGCATACCTTTTGCTCTTACCGGATAACAAGTGTATTCTTCAATTTCTTCCTGCTGAGGGGGCCAATCTGACTGTGTCTTCCCCAGCAGGACCAATAAGCATGTATTCAAGCATGGCATAATCTGATAGAACATAATGTAAGAGCACATGGCATAGTCATTTTTGACTAGGATAAGCAACCTCAGAAAGTGCCTTCAGGTCCCTAGGATAATTGATTTTTTGACTATCTTCAGCCTTCCCCATGTAACGCAGTGTTGATACGGAGGTGCTCCAAACATGCCATGCCATACATACATCACTTCAGGGTGATCAAAGACCCGGTGTGTTGTGTGCTTTCTGAACATTTAACCAGTACCATCCTTTATTGTTGTTGTTGTATGCTGTGTGTATGTGTGTGTGTGTGGGGGGGGGGGCGGTATTGTAACTGTGACTGACCGCTCTCTGTTTCTGCAAGGAATACCTTGTGAGTATTGTTCTGCATGCTGATACATTTTGGCAGGGAATATACAAGGGTATCTTTTGTCAGACAAAATATTTAAGTTTGGTGTATTTTGTTCCCTAACTCCCAACCTGTTACCAATGTGAATTACACACTGTTTTGTATAGATGGAAGGAGCATGAGAAGGACTGTTCATGGTTAAGAAAAACTAGGAATACTTTGGCATTGTTACATAGTCAGGATAGAACAAGCATTGGCAACATCAGGGGATCAGGGAGTTTTGTCTCTGTGGTCCTTGCGAAGCCACATGAATTGCCAGGGACCCTCCCCTCCTATACTGAAGACAATTCTACATCAGCCTGCAGTGGCTGTAAGTCTATTTCTGATTTTGAAAAACAGATTTTTAAAAGGTTAAACAGCAATCTATTCAACATGCAAATTGCTATTTCTGCAGGCTTCCAGGAGAAGTGCTTCACCTTTGTTTTATTTGTCCAGAAAAGATCCAGGGAGTGTGGAAAGGTTGTGGATTACAGAATTAACCCTGGGGCCCTCCTGAACCCCAGAGCTGCAGTTCAGCAATCTAGATTTAGGCCCTAAGCAGTTTAGATAAAATATTCTGACATTCACCCCTCACCCGACAACTTCTTTATTTATTTGTCGTGTCAGGGCAACCAGTCAATTATATTACATTTCTAACAGAACAAAGCAAACAAACAGTCAAAATACAAAATTTGTGAGTTTGGTAATTAATTAGATGTCCTTTGACCAGTATCTAGCCACTTGGAGTGCTTCTGGTGTTGCTGCAAGAAGGTCCTCCATTGTGCATGTGGCAGGGCTCAGGTTGCATTGCAGCAGGTGGTCAGTGGTTTGCTCCTCTCCACACTCGCATGTCAAGGATTCCACTTTGTGACCCCATTTCTGAAGGTTGGCTCTGCATCTCGTGGTGCCAGAGTGCAGTCTGTTCAGCACCTTCCAAGTCGCCCAGTCCTCTGTGTGGCCAGGGGGGAGTCTCTCATTTGGTATCAGCTATTGGTTGAGGTTCTGGGTTTGAGCCTGCCAATTCTGGACTCTCACTTGCTGAGGTGTTCCAGCGAGTGTCTCTGTAGATCTTAGAAAATCCCTGACAACTGACAATTAGGCAGAGACTTTGGATTTATATCAGAGGAAAAAAATTATCCCCACACCATACCGTTATTTTTGTGACCCATTTCCCCTGACCAAGCTTCTCTAAATAACATATTTGAGGAAGAATAAATAAAGATGTGATGTGATGGTCAGTTTCCTTGCCATCACTCTAGTTGTGGGCAGGGACATCAAAGATAGAGCAGGGTAACATATCTGTGTGATGTGTTAAAAGTCCATGGGGAGGTGTCCCATAGAAGCTTTAAAAAACATATGAAGCTTGTATGAGCTCAGGAATGTATCTGGTGATAATCTCTCAGCATTATCACAAAATTGCACAGGGTGACTGATGCAGCCAGCACTATCTTACCGTAACTTATGGGTTCCTTTGGTGGTGGTGGTGATTCATTTCTGAAATACACTTGCTATGTCTTCTCAAGAGATGCACTCACTCCCTGGGACCTGTGGGATTTTTTTACAATTAGCCCTTTGCTAAAAGGGGGATGTGTTTCTGTTTTGTGCCTAACACAAGTGGCTATTTTTAGCCTTCCCAGACCTGGCAGGCAGCCAAGCCATTCCTGCTACAAAGGGTCAGGCCTGAATCAAGATAAATTGGCTTTTCAGTCTGTAAATGCCACTAGAGATTCAAGGAGCTCAAGTCGGGGGCTGCTGTGAATCCTGGATTGGCAGGAGGAGGTTGCTATAACAGAAATCTTGGAGGGACAGCGAGAAGCAGAGAGGGACAAAGGTGACAGTGAACAGCTTAAAATGGGATGCTCAAGTCTCAGCAAAGAAAATTCATCCCTACAGATTGGAACCAGGGGGCTCTGGGAAGAGTGGAGGAGGCTCTAAGGGACAAGATGTTTTTATCATGAATCTTTGGTTTGCTCCTAGTCTCATATTCTGCAGCACAGCTGGGTGGGGCTCAGAGAAAATATTTCTTAAAAAAATTCTAATATGATTATCATAGACAACTAACCCTGGATAAGATAGGAACTGACCCATTGTAACATCCATGTGGTGATGAGAAGTGGTTTGGTCTGCCTTTAAGAATTGTAGTTTTCTCATTCAGTGGATGACAAAAGAAAGACATGCTTCCTTGTTCCAGTTGAAGCTGCTTTTAAAACAACAACGAAAACAACAACAACATTACATTTCTTTCCTTTGTCTTACTGTCACCGCTGTTCTGTATTACAGCAGTAGTGTATATTTCTGTGTCACCTCACAAACATGGTTTGCTTGGTGACTAATAGCACACTATAAAGATTAAACAACTGTTTCTTTGGGTCATGAACAAAAGAAACATGTTTTAAAATGTTGGAAGAGATCGCAAGGCCATCCAGTCCAATCTGCTGCTATGCAAAAATACGCAAACCACTCCTGACATGTGGCCACCACCTTCTGTTAAAAAACCTAAAAAGAAGGAGATTCTACCTCATTCCAAGGCAGCATATTTCACTGCCAGGAAGTTCTTTCTGAAGGTAGAATATCTTTTCCTGCAGTTTGAATCCATTGCTCTGTTTCTTAATCTTACTCTCTCTTCGGTATGGCATCCTTTTACATATTTAAACATAGCCATATCTTAACCCATTCTTTTAACCTTTCCTCATAATGCATGCTTTCCAGA